GATTCACACATCTTACTAAACTTTGGTTTGCTTAACTGCAGTTTGGTTAAATAAGCCATAATTGAATTCACACATCGCGTTAAGCTATAATACATGCGCTGGGGAGGAATTTTGCTTTTGACTTAGTGTGTTGCGTGAATTCAGTCCCTGGGATTTGGAAATCATGGTTTATGCCTGAGTTTATGCCAGCTATCACACTCATGGGCATCCAGAACAAATCAACATGATGTCACATGTATCATGTCATCATACAAAGACAGGAATTATGTGGTCAATACAGAAAATCTGCTTTTTGGACATACCCAGATCTGAGCCCTGTTTAAAAATGTTCAGAAAGTGTTCCTTGTGTTTAATTGAAATCCATATTTTGGTTATGTAAACTGCTCTTTTGGCCACCTTCTTTTCTTCTGTATACCTCCATGCCAAGCAGGGGCTAAATATCAACCAAATTAAATGAATTCTGTGGCCCAATCTTCCCCAACTTGCATCCTCCAGATGTCTTGGACACGGCCTCCCATCATCCTGAGATAACATGCTGGATCAGTGGCTCTGCTGCTGGGAACAAGGGCACTCCAGTCCAAAGCATTTGAAGGCTCTGTAGAGAAGTCTGCCCACTGGGCATTCTAGTTCTCTAGGACCTCCCTACATTCCATTCCTCCCTTGGACTGATGCTCTAAGAGCCTGGCTACTCCATCTCTTTAGGCTCGGACAAGGGCAGAGGGCAAATGGAAAACAGCTTCTCTTCTCCTGACCTAGCTTCCTGGGCACTTGGGTACTTCCCTGCTTACCATGGCGCTTTCAATGGTGCTCACGCCCCTTCCAGATTAGCAACAGCAGCTATGGATGTTGATGCTCCCACTGCTGTCTTGCTTCTAAGCAGCTTGGCAACAAGGAGCTCAGGCCATGCGTGGTAACCTCTAGGAAGTGTCCTTGAGCATCACAGTGCAGGGGAGGGAGGAGGTCATAATCCCCCCTGGCAACCTCCCCTGCTCTCCTGTCTTCCTGCCCATTGACATCACTGGACAGTCACCCAGTCTTGGAGGTGGGTTTCATAGGATCTGTGTGTTTGCATTCAGAAAGTGTAATTGTATCTTCTCCCTCTTCAGCTTGTTTTATGAAACCACCCAAGTGCTGACACCCCTGGACAAAAATGCAAAAGAATTCCATCCTTCCCCCCACCCTATGGATTCCCAGTAAAACATAATGAGAATTCCATGGTTCAAAAGAAAAGTATTTCTGGTGGTTTTGCTTATTTGAACAGAACATACAGACCCTATTTACTATCATTGAACAGTGAAATATTTATATTTTGTTCAGAATAGGTATTTCAAATACTGGTCTGGTTTTCATCAACAATACATTGTAGGACAAAGACCCTGAGTTCTGTGGTCCACCACTGGCTGGTATCCAAGATAGGGTAGTCTTGCTTGATAGGCACAACAATCAGAGAATCGCCAAACAGGAAAAGTAACACGTTTTACCATTGCTTAGCTCAGGCGGTTTTAACTGAGAAGTCACTGAGAAACATTCAATCACAATTCCATCGAAACTGGCCTTAAAAGCAGTTAGATTTACTACTTTGTGAGCTGAACTGTATGGTGAAACATTTTCTGGTCCGTGCCATGACATCTGCTGCGATGAGGTTATGTGGGAATGGGGACATTCCTGCCCTCAGCAAAATACATCTGAAGAAAGGTTGGCATGATAATTTTCCTTACCATGTTTTTTCTCCACACTGGATTATATTAGGACTATCCATGATACCCATGGTAGTGGTGCAATAGCTGTATTTCTCTGTTGCTGATGTGACACTGCATTACTATGCAACAGGTTTCCGGTAAGAAAAATGGCGTCTGTTATGATTTGCTATGAAGACACCTGCCAAAAAGATGTGTATCCATTCTGCTTGAGCCCTGATTTACACAATATGTGTGCTATACCAAGATTTGTTTGGTTTTAGCTCAGTGTGCTGTTGAACAAACCATGGCTTATTGTGATGAATGAGCCGAGCCTTAGATCTTGAAGCAAATTAGAGCAGGACCGTGTACTTATTTTAATAGTTGTTTCATCCTAGTTGTTTAGTCTGAAGATGTAGGGAAAAAGGCCTGGAGGCTTGAATGCCTCCTGAGATTTGACCTTCTTGATTACAGCTGCTAGGAGAGTGAGTGCTGAGGTATTTGCCAGTAGATGTGTAAATAAAGGTGAAGAACAATCTGAACTGAAGGAACCTACTCATTATTAAGCAGAGCCCTTTTTGGAGTCTGTTCTGAATAATTACCAGCTAGTTTCAGATGCTTAATTCACAGGCAAGATATTCAACCAGATAGTGGAAAACCAGCTCCAAGCTTTCTTTCCAATGCATTATCAGGCCCAGTTGGAAGTCTAACAGCCTTTCTCATTCAGATGTAGAAGATTGTACCCGTGTGAATTTTACAAAACCGTACAGCTTTCAACAGCATCAGCCATGGTTTCTTTTAGGACAGGACTAAGATGCAAGTTTTGCAGGACTATTCTTCAGAAACAAAATGTGAAAGCCTGGAACTCACTTTCCAGAGCATACAGTCCACATTGTTCACTTGACATTGCCTGCCTATGTTGTTTCCAAGCAGAATTTAACTTGCTGCCACTTGCCTATAAAAGTGTTATAGCGGTTAAGGCACCAGGCTAGCAACCGGGAGACTGAGTGTCCTAGTCCCGCCTTAGGTACAAAGCCAGCTGGGTGACCTTGGGCCAGTCCCTCTCTCTCTCAGCCCTAGGAAGGAGGAGGCAAGGGCAAACCACTTCTGAAAACTACTGTCCCCCAAATTACATAAATGTGTGCATGTTGTCAGGAGTTAAGACTGACTCATAGGCACAACACATCCATGCACACATATAAACCCACACACGTACACCCATCCCTTGCTGATAAAGCTTTAAGTGGCACAGATCAGACAGCACTGAAGCGGTCTTCTGTTGAAGAAATGTGTCTGCTGCGACAGAATTCTAAGGAAGCAGAATATAGTCTTCTGTCAATTTCAAGCAGGATTTCCCAAATTGTACCTCCCTTGGGGAGCTGCACAGAGTCCAGAGGAAGTGTGAAGAA